TCATCATCTGACGTCTGTGAACAAGGAATATAACGCAATTTTCCCTTTTTGTCTATTCCATTAAATCTATTGCGCAAATTATTTAAAATGAAGAATATACCAGATATCTGTCCCAGCCAAAAATGGCCAAAAATGCAGCATTTTTCCAGAAAATAAAGAAGTAAAATACGTAGAGTATGTATAAAGCAACGAGCAATTTGATATAACGAGATAATTAGACGATATTTTGTCTATACAAGGTAGTCAACAGAATTTTTTCTATATTGTTACGACAGTCTGTGTTTGATTTTTTCTACATATTACATATCATCATATTTGGGAAAGAGATAACAAGAAACTAATATTCCATCCAGCACTCTTTTCTTATAGAAGCGTATGGATTCATAACTTCATTCATAATGGCAAAATGACATCATCCTAAGAAAGCAATGCATTCATAAACTGCGCACAGATATGACTCCATTTATAAGATGAGACATGTCTTACACGTGGAGTGTATAGCACCTGTATAAACGGTAGATATCAAACTTAAGAATAAATTTTCTTTTACTTCATTTTTCATTTATTGATGAAGCTTATGTTCTACAATCGCAAAACAATGGTGAGAGTCTGTATAAATCAGATAATCTGATCATTGATTTCGGGGTTTCCTTTAAGCTGAAATGTTCTTTTTCCTTCAATTGCTGTAAACTGCAAGATGTGTTTAATAACCATAAAACATCTCTTTAAATTTGATACATATCGTGTATAACTGTTTTATATTAACTTTTATAATTAAATTAATGTCTTAATATACAAGTAAAATAATATCTAAATATAGATAATGAAAGTGCAAGTAAATAATAGTTAACCATAATTTTGTAAGTTGTTAAATAAATTACTAGCATAGAAATTTTATGCTTAATCTGCTCAAATATTGCATGTTACTTCTTACTGCAAAAGCTAATAGTTTTATCTAAAACGGTAGTTAATAGGTTTTTGTTGTTGTTGTTGTTGCTGTTGTGGTTCAAACTAAAAAAAAAACAGAAGTGGTATAGAAAATAACGGATTTTATATTCTGTTAAACACATTAGTTTGCAGTTCGACTCATTAAGTATAAGTTAAAGTTTATTAGTACATATATCTATTTACCAATTTAATTTTGTAAGTACGTAATAATAAATTTTAACCAGCTAGGTGTTTTTAATTATTTTTATAAACAGTCGATTTACAAGACTGATCATCAGTTTGCCGATTTACCAAAGTGAATGTGTTATGATTCATTTAAAATAATGCAATACTATTGGACAGAAATAAATTCAAACACTAAAATAACCGTTATATACATTTTAACTGATATAAAAATAATAAAGAATCTATTGTTACATTATTCATTATTTACTTCGTAACTAAAATAGGAGAAAGAATGAAACTTTTTCCTAATGAATTAATAATTGACAAGGGTAATCAAAGATGCCGTAGTATACAGTATTGTGCATTTTTATTTTTTGAGGACAATACATTAGGTAACCGACTCTGCTTTATCAGAAGTCCTATGTTTCTTAAAATTTTCAGTCATTCTTGAGACATTCAAAATGTTTTCAATTTGTGCATTACACTGACCTTTTTACTCATCTGTGAAATTCATAATAATACAGTTGAATACTAATCCAAATCACCTAAACTCATTAACAATCTATAATATATTTTTGACGGAGCTATTTTAAGACTGAGCCTTACAAAAGTTAATTAAGATTTAGTTATAAAATTAATACTCATTTGATAAAACTCAGTGCTGAGCAAGATAAGAATATATCTATAAAAATGTTGAAAGTAAATGGCCAGATGTAATTCACGAAAGATAAGACTCATATAATGAAGTTTTTAAATAAATGAAATATCATTGTATAACTGCTACCTAAGAGTTTCCCAGTAAGGTAAATATCTTAAACAACTACAGGATATGATAACGGAACAATTTATTATGTTTATTACTGGCATCACGGAACACTCGTATCAACTTCTGAAAATTAGAAGTTAGTAAATCATCGCAGTGAATATATTGTGTAAATAAATGCAATATTATCTACAACACAGAAATTCCATCTTTTTTCTCCTCGCTATATCTTCACGATGAGAATTATAAACAGACTTTACATCTCATAGATATTTGTAAGATCTTTAAGCAGGATTAATATGTCTACAGAGAAAACTATGGAACCACATAAAAAAAGATGTAAAATATGTTCTAATTTGTCCGTAGATAGACATATTTCACTGTTGCAAATTAAATGCTAAAAAATAAATGAAATTTTAAATATAAACGGAGTTTTGCAAAGACCATGTTAAAATTCATTAAATTATGTATTGACGTTATATTTATATCAGCATAATTATTATGGAGATTCCATGATGATCATTTCTTAAAACATTTGGTCGGCCAAAGTTTTAGTCGGCCCCTGTAGGTTATTTATTGTCTTGCTGCTCTGCTATCCTAATAAAATTTAAGTACTCTTTTATGCTCATGATCATTAAATTTCTTTCTATTTATATGAGTATTTTTGCGTTTTATTTATGATACCTTCTTAAACCATTGAATGTTTGCTAAGGATAATTTTATTTATACCGCCTTACAGGAACATATTAAGGCTAAGAGTGACATTTGGTGTACTTTTACCTCAGTAGTGATGCATTTGACCGTTCCAAGGCCGTGTCCCTCAGTCGCCCTCAATATATGTTTTGTTGTTATTCATTTTATTTAATGTGATTGTGTTTCGTCTGTTAAAAAACGGGAATAAAGATTAACAAGGCAAAGACAAAGTTCACAGGACGCAACCCCCTCAGCCTTATAGCGGGAATGAATGAAAAGATTCAGTGAACTGTACTTGATCTTGTTCATTCTTATTGTCGCAAATAACAGGTAATTACGCCTAAAGTATTAAATTCAATTCAAGTTTTAATTATTCTTTCGTCTCCCTGTTTCAAATTGCACCTCAGCGTTATTGGTTATCGTAAACAGTTTGTCCTAATTCGAATATAATTATCATACTATTTACCAGAATGATGTCTCTTTCCCGCCCTTATGTCCTTCCATGTTTATGCCTTAGTCCTGTTCAATGTCCAATTTGAAGCCTTAACGGTGATTGTGTGGCTTAGCATTGTTATGGGCAGCAATTTGTTAACGTCTTTTTTGTTGATATTTCCCTTCATAATTTGATTATAATTAAATTTATCCATTTAATGTTGTGATATATATGTTTACATACAAAGTCATATAATATTTATTTTTTATTTTTTGCCTGCTATAACTCTGCTATACAAAAATGCAACAAGGAAAATCTCTGTGATTCTTGTAATATACTGTACTCCCTATAGTCTCAGCGTTTTCCTTTTTACTGTATCCAAGAAATTCATATATAGTATCAAATCCATATTGAACTCGGAGCAACTTTGTGTGTGGTCATTAATAATATTTGTACAAGTTATCTCTCTTAAATAAAAATGAATAAAATATAGATGACGACATTTTCCCCAAAAATTCTTTATTTTCAGCAAATTATCACTGTTACGAATAAGCTGTCAATGAAAATCAGTACTTTACACATTATTGCATCACGACTTCCTTTTTCATATCATGGTTCAACTATAAGTACCATAGATGGGGTGATTTAATTTTTCAAAAATTAAAAGCAATCCCATTTATCATCAACTTTCAATGAGGTTAAGATTGCAAAGTCAACACGTTAACAGTTAACGTTTCTATTTTAATCGAAAAAAGTATTTGAATTCCATTTCTGATGAAAAGAATCGTATCCTTCAACTATTATCAACTTTTTATGAATCTTTAAATTTTGTTATTATGCAACCAATACTAGTCAAGATCTTGGCATTCTATCAAGCTTTTAATGAGCAAAGACGCAAATGACGTTTAACGTGTATCAAGACTCTGAAAACAAAACAAAATGGCAAACAAACAGCCAGGAGCATTCCGCGCATTGCTTATTCGGGAATACAGTGTTCTCTTTTGACGATAGTGACATTTTATAATTTGCACGATTGTACGTTGGTAATAAAGTAATGGTACGTTGAAATATCGCATTTTCTTTACCATACCATCAAGCTTTTACAATCGAGTCATCTTCCAATTTTAACAGTGCCATCGTTACATCACGCTTTCATTATCCTGGCATAGTGATCGTGCCATAAACCATCGCGCTTACACCATCGTACAAACGTGTTTTTATCAACGGTTCTCGTGACTTCGACATCATACCAACGCGTGTCCATCATTGTATCACCGCCTTCCGTGGTCATGCGCAGTTATACATACTAATCAACAGCAAAACTGAAAATTTAGTATTAGCATATAAAAACGTTCATATTATAACTGACATGTTTTGCTCAAAAAGAAGCCACAGAAAGTGATAAAACAGTTTTGCTTTGCTCGTAATTAAAGGGCACAAGAAGCTATTTTTGTTATATCACATGGTTAAACGTTCAAAACATATTCTTTTTATGACAAATATTTATTTGTTAATCAATAATGAAAGTGTGATTCGTAGAATTAAAGGTTCTATTTATATAGCTCTGTCAAGAATACCACCACTCCAATAGATGGATGGTGGATAAATCGATGCATGGGGAAATGGATGGATGGATGAGATAGGATAGATAAATAGAGAAACAATAAAGAAAATGGAGACAAAGCAATTGGATGTAATGTTCACATTCATTTTGTCCGTGAAATTGAAACTAATCCGAATTAATAATAATAATAATAATAATAGTATAAATGATAATAATAATACAATCTTAAATCAGAGAAGGTGACATACATAGTTTTCACAAGAAAACACGTATACTTATTTTCAGTACGATTTTTTGAATTTAACAAAAACAAAGAAAACGAATAATAATTATTAAAAAAGAATAAAAAACTACTTAAAATAACGGTATTGTTGTCCATGAACACATTTTACAAATAAAATTACGTACTTATTGTTTAAACTTCCTCGTGTACATACGTTCTCAAACTTCCTGGTCTAAAATAAATAATATAATTGTGTAAGATGACGGACTCAGAGGTGAAATCTAAATATCAGTTTACCTATTTAAAAAATTGTTGGATTAAAATTTGTATACATTTATATAACTGTGTGTATAGCTTATGTACATACTGGTGAGTAATAACTATTACACATATATACATTATAATATTCATTATTAACATTACATAGATATAATGCTGGTGAGTAATCTAAACTATTACACAGGTATACATATAATATTCCTTATTAAAATGTGAAAGTGCATTACTTGTTTTATCTAAAATGACGACATTCCTAATTTCAGCAATTCTATCAACGTTCTTTCGTTTTGCTTCTTTAAGCTTTCCATTTTTGTAACATCTTAATATTCTTTTAACGTTTATCCAATGTTATGGCCCTATCCATTGTGCATATATAGAAGCGGCCACTTGAATAATTGATTAAACGATATCTGACTACTGTACAAATAAATAAATGTTAAATTAGGGTCAATAAATACTGAAAAAAATGCGTAGATAAAATGCTTTTGAAAATTAAATGATTCTATAATCAAGTTGAACAGTCAACTAATGCAAACTCCTAATCATAGTATTTTACGGCGTTTATGACTGATCAATACGAAACATAAATATACTGATGGTAATATTTAACAAATAGGGAAAATAAGTCGATTTTAGTTTATATGCATGTTCATATCAGTCAAAAACAACGACAATACATTTATAATTATGGGTCATGAAATATTTAGAATATAACTGCTGGATTCCCTTGAATGCACCTTACTTTATTTCGGTGGTTGTTATGTTATAAATATTGAATTCAAATATGTTTAATTGACGGCATATTTGAAAAATAAAAATATTCTGATTGTCACCATCTAATTTATAAAAGAAGTAGATCGATTTCTGGATCCATTAATTGATATTTTTTACATAGTCCGCTACAACTGTATTTATTTTATAACTAAATACAGTCAATAAAACTTATTAACCCTGTTTTTGGCAAATTCTGATCACATTTTTAGAATAAGTTCTTTTATAAACCCTTTTTTATGAAATATTGATTGGAAACTTTTAAACAGTCTTTCCTCAGATAAAACGAACAATTTCTATTTTAAATTTGAACATACTTGTTGCATTCTTAGTGCGCAGGAAAGATTTTGGTATATTACATTTTTATGCGGAATATCTTTATTATATACTTATGTGAGTCGGACTATAATTGTCTGATATAATCACATATTATAATTAATTATTAATTATCATTAATGTTATGATAATAATTATATCTATTATCATTTCTCTATGTCATTGTTTGTGTTTTAGGAACTGTTGATAGAATATACATACTTGACAATAAGGCAGCATTAAAAGGGAGTAATATACGACTTGTTTGTGGAATATCAGAGTTTACTTCTGGCCAGCTAGAAATCTACTGGAGTGAAACTCGTCTTCCGACATCACTCACTGATATCCAGTCCAAAGTTCAGTGTTTCCAGTCAGCGTGTCTGACAATATCTGTTGGTAGATATACATTTCGTGCTGACAACAGTAATGTCTACATCAACATTACCAGTGTAAACAGATCAGAGGATCAGAAATGGTGGACATGTGCCATAGGAAATCAAAGGAAAGACATGCTGCTAAATGTCATAAGTATGTATAATTTGAATAATATTAATTCTTCAGCTATTGAAACAAAAAAGATTAATGATTTTTGTAATAAAAGGATAAACAATTTCATGTATTTTACAAAAACTTTCGTAAATGTTAATGCTGTGATAGTGTTTATCTGATATTAATATACATGTTCATTACTACGAATGTAGCATTAAATAGTACAACTTCTTTATTATATACTTATAAATGAAATATTGAGAAATATTGATAGAATAAAATGCGTATTTTAATTTTCCGTATTTTCACTGTAAAAATTTATTTTTCACTGCAGTGAAACATATTTTCCATATTTTCACTGGTGTCTTGCCGGACTACTTTCTTTTAAACCTGCCAGTACACAAAATTTAAGGGAAAGTCTTTCAAATTTTAATGTCAAAAAAGAGAAAAATGTATATAATAAACAGAAAATTCAAGTTTTTTCTATAAATACATGATTTATTTTCATCATGTGGCATGAAAATTACCATATTTCACTCGTGGCTACTGCCACTCATGAAATATTTATTTCCATACCACATGAAAAAACATGAATATCCTCTATATATTTCATGAGATATTTAAAATCTTCATTTATGTGTTATAATACATGTGAACAACATAATAACAAAGGTCTTAATCATCTAATTCATGATTGAACTATTAATCCATTTTCTCTCATTTCAACTTTGAAAAATAATAATCACATGTCAGTTTGCAGTTGTTACTCATAAAACCTTAATTCTATTATGACCTATTAAAGTCTACTATGATCCTATATTTTACGTGCTGTTTGATAATGTATGTAAATCAGAAGTAGTTTGTTCATTTATCGTAATATGATTTCGTGTTAAATATCTCAAATTCAGAGGTTTTTCATATTTTCTTTTAATTAAACATACGCTTTAACCTAACACCATGCAAGCTATATAAACATTTCTTATTACTGTTTCTTATGTTTCTACATTTCCCTTTTTTCAAAAAAATATTTATTGATATCAGGCCTTGTTCACGTGCATTGTTTACTTCCAGGCTTAACAAATAATCTCACAATTTATTCAAAAGATATATGTAAAACATGCAGATATCGACAATATAATCCAATTTATGATAAAAAAATTACTTCAGTATCCAGAGGTAAAGTACCATTAGCTAATGCATCGTACTTTACACTGGTAAACATAACAATTTCTTGTACATATTATATACATGTATATGTCAAACATGTAAATAACATATATTAAAAGCTAATAATCAAGACACACTATTAATTTTGCATTATTACATATGCATCAAGAAAGAGCTCAAGACAAAGCAACGAATGAGATATTCAATTCCACAGATCACAAAAAAATCAAATTAAAAAGGCAACGCAAAAGAATATATTCCCCAATATAGCAAAAAGTGCAAAAAAAAAAGAAAATGCATAAATAACTATATTATTAAATGGACACGAAAGACCACACTAAAACTCAGAAACGGATCTGAGTGAAATACAGTTTTCAACCAATCTGAACGAATCTGAGTAAAAGCTTTGCCCTCGAAAGACTAATTAAAACAACTTGTAATTCATGTTAGAAAGAACTGGTCACATATAGTTGCTTGAATAATTAATTTTTAATTATTTGTATTACAGCTGTACCATTATCACTCCAATATGAAAATACTGTAACCCAAAATCAAGATTTAGCAAAGAATGCAGTACAGTTAAAATGTAGTACAGGGTGTTCCTATCCTGAGCCAACATTTACTTGGTTTTACTCTGAGGTATGATTTTGCTTTCATTTTACTTAGGTCGGAGTTTAGAAAAATTTAAAGCATTTAAAATAGCCAAATAATTCGGGTTCAATAACAACTGACTGGATATTTTTCAACCTTTATTTCGAAAACAAAACCGTCGTATTTTAGTACATGGATAAAGGTATTACGGTCAATACATTCACATTCCATTTATTCCTTAATAAACAATTAAAAAGTGTAAGCATTCATTAACGTTCCGTTATTGACAAAATATAGTCATACAAATAGGGTTTTGTAAATTTCTCTCAAAACTTGCCTCGGACCTAGTCACATACCTACAGATACAACAACAAGTGTTTGTTCATAAATTTACTTGCATTCCGCACGAATGTCTTATAATAATGGCTACATGCTGTCGTAATGAGAGATTAATAATACTGAACAAAATTTAGAAAGAATTCCAAATGTTAAAAAACTTCTACCTTGTGTCCTGTTAAACAAATTAGAGAAGAATTTCCTTCGGCGACAAGAAATACGAATTTGAAATTAACCATGCAAAGCAATTATTAATATCAAGCATGGGACTATTATCATACATTTTTAAAGACGCTAGCTATACAACTATTTTACATTCAATGTTCTGAACAATGTAATCTTGAAAAGAATTCTAATTATACTTTCAGCCAGGAAAAGATACCTTTCTAGTCTGGCCATCATCGGGGTCTGCTTCTGATACAGTAGCAGGATGTTCTGACTCTGAGAGAAAATATTCTTCAACTTTATCTCTTTCACGATATACAACATTTCCTGGTAACATACAAAAAACTGTTCAGTTTAAATGCAGTATAGAATCATTAACTGGAATGTCTGAACAACTATACACATCTTTCTCTACTGATATTCAGTTTGCTGGTGAGTTCATTATAATAATGATGTCTGTGGAGATAAAATAGAAAATCTTTTGCCGAAATATTATCATTTTGTCACTCACCATAGGAAATAAAATTCATCGATCACAGTTTTTACTTTAATTCTTCATCTTCTATCACTAGTGTCACATGGTTAGGTAATGATTCATTCTTTGAAGTAATTGTTGCAATTTCAGAATCCTTTAGAATTTACTTTTATATCTTAACTTATAAAATCAATATTAACAGACAGCCAAAATGACGATAAATTAAATTCTTAATTCCATCGGGACGGTTTAACGATTGTTTTTTTTATTGACAAAATTTTATTGAGGACTTAAAAATTTATCAATCTGTAAAGTAATGATAAATGTTTCTGTCCACATCAGTTAGGGTTTCAAATGCTACACTCAAAGATGGAACTAGTACAGTTACTGAACAACTACAAGTAATAAGTGGTTTAAGTAAAACATTGACATGTGACACAAGCGTGAGTAGACCCGCAGCTACGATAGTGTGGTATATTGGAACACAAGAGAAACACAGGTCTACATTTTCTACTTTTTCATTCAATCCACAGACCACCGATCACAACAAAACAGTCTACTGTAAAGCCTTTAACATACAACCAGAGAATCAAGCTGTCATTTCATACAAATCAGTACTTTTTGTTCAAGGTAGTTTGATATATAGAAGGTTTTTGAAGATGAAATTCTTCTTTTTGTCGGATGAACAAATCAAGTTACTAATTCCTAAAATAAAAATTATATTTTTTCCTATTCATAGTTAATCAGTTACAAAGAAGGATTTCGTAGACAAATAAGAGTGAAATTTAGGAAGAACGTTTTGATCTATTTCAAATTATAAGGTTTTTGTTACATCATGATTTTTCATGGTCCATCTTACTAATAAGTAACTTCGATCATGGAATTCATGTTAAACATTATATATCATTTGTGAATATTCAGCATCTTTCTAAAGTATTATATCTTGTGATTTAAAATGCAGTTTTCTCCAAAACTTACTTATTTGGTGAATAATGAATAATTGTAGAATTAGATCTATATCATATAACTTTATAATATTTACATCATTTTGATATTAAACAGGTAACCGGAGCTTTTCCTATAGTATTTAAGGAAAGTCATAGAAAAGTGTAAATAAAAGTAAAAGGTTTCATTAATATGCTAACATCCTTATTTCAGTTTATATATATTTAAATTGTTAAAATGTTAATATTTATTTGTTTGATGATGTGTACTTGTGCATGTCAAAACCAAACTATCTGCTACCTTAAGTACTATTTTTCATTATTTTGACATTTTCTAAGATGATATGTAAAATGTATTTATTTTAGAACGGACAAACGTAAAATCGTTTTATATTGGACAGAATGAAAGTCAAACGGTGGCGACATTAGAGGAACATGATGTGAACATTCCGCTTACTTGCATTGTAACTGGAACATCTGCCAAAGAACTTTATATCATATTTAACGGGGACATTATTGCAAGACAGTCTAACACAAATAAATTAGAATACAATGTTCAAGACATTACTTGTTCTACAGGCGGCATTTATATTTGCAGTGCAGTTGATAATTTCGGTGCCTCAACAAACAAAACTGTTACGTTATTTGTAGATTGTAAGTTTATCATAAGAAACTAGTGAGTATTTTAATTAGTTTAATAAAAACTAAGTCCTCAACTTTATCAAAATTTAAACCGGTATACTGTTTAATTAAAAATGTTAAATGTTTGAAATTAAATCTAGAGAAACTGATATCAAGGTAACCTTATATGAACACACATCAGTTAAATATTTAGAAGTATCCATCTTATTTGTAACGGCGTTAATTGATAAAATGATTTTAAAAGTAATTTTAATCATTTTAGTCTTCTGCTTTACATTAATGCTTGGAAGTTTGTTTCAAATGGGATTTTAATTTTGGTAGGTTCTCCACGACCAGTTCGACAAGTTCTTCACAATATAACGAGTCAGGTCGGTAAATCCGTAACACTTTCCTTCATGGTAATAGCTTATCCTACACCTGGACCTAAGGGATTTTCATGGTTCATGGAAGACCGACTTAACTGGATTTCTTTACTGAGTAACGAAGATCTTAAAATTTCATCATCTGATTTTGAGACAAATTTAACAATCTCAAATGTATCTCTTGAACATTACGGAAAATATCGTGTAACTACTGTTAACAGAATCGGTTCATACGACCAGATATTGTTCCTCTCAGAGAAAGGTATTGTTAGTTGTTTTTCTTTTTGAAATGGACAATTTCTCGAACTAATAACACATCGTCTTGGCTAAAGAAAATATTATCATTTGCACTGTATTTTACGGACATTTTAACTTTTATACATTTTATTCCTGAACACGAATCAGTTCCAACATAAGTGTTTGTAAGCTTTATAATTGCCTATTTATATTCTTATCTGCTTACTTAGATTTCAGACCTGACACGTGCAATACGTGCAATAAAAAGAAATGCTCCTTTACAACTACAATAGTTCTCGGAATAGTATGTGTCGTTCTGGTTGGCTATGGTACTGGTGTATCCATATTGTACAAAAGAAATACCATTAAGAAAGGTAAATATTTTTTCTAAGGTTTCCCACAGCTTCTTTAAGTAAGACCTTGTAATTTTCTCTCATAGATTACTTTGTTCATTTCATGAATTTGTCGACTTCCTTTGCTCGTGTCATGACTGTGAAAAAATCCTGAAAGTGAATTGGTCTATAATGTATAGACATAACCATAAACCACGAAAGCTTTATACATGAAAGTTATTGGAAAGTATCGGATACATGATCCGATATTAAATATATTTATGTAGCAGAACATTAAATGTTATAGAACAAAAAATTATTACTCATCATATAATTGTTAATTCTAAACTATTTAGAAGTCTATTAACATTTTATTCAAGCAACATGTTATATAGAAGTATATCTCAATAACACTATCCTATTGTTTTCATCAATATTTGAAATATATATGGAAAATGCGCCCATTGCACACCTTTCTAATTTAAACAGTTGTACTAAAATACTAAAACCCAAACAATTTTATAATTAAATACAAGTTGAATGTCTTATATCAGGTAAAACAACACATTCAAGATATGGATCCAGAACGTAAGTTTTGCATATTTTTTGTAATAATAAATTCATCCATTTGACAGTAGTCTTTTCCATCATTTATACTTTTTCTGGTTCTTCTTATACTAGCCTTGAGTATATAAACAAATATATAATTCCTTTACAAACGCACTGTAGCGAAGAGTAAAAAAACGAAGTTTAGGAAGAAACCTTTGTGTACAATAAACAAATAAATCTTATTAATCATATACATGTATTTTAAAAGATTTGATTAATATTGTTTGGCATCAAAGTACAGACTGTTTAGAGCTATTATGTTTCTTTATGTATAATATATTTTGTGCTTGTTTCAGTAGGAATGACAATATAGGAAATACTATTGATGTAACAGAGGAACAAGATTACGAAAATAATGTTACAGAAGCTGACGAGGACACTTCGAAACAATATACTGAGCTGACACATTACTCTAACGATACTGCACCATATGAACCGTTACGTGTTTAGATAAGATGGTTGTAACTTGCTTAAAACTCTTGGTGAAAATGTTTGTATAAAAGTGAAGTGAAATATTCACATTGAGTGGTTTATTTCATATACACGTACAACGTAAAATATTTGATACACCCACCATCGCCATGGTTTGAATATATTTTGATATATAAAGAAGTTACAAGTTAAATGTTGATGCTGCACATCAAAGACGCCGCCAAAAGATTTGAACAGTCAATCAGCATTGACAATCGTTCTCTACTACAGTTGAATATCCGAAGTACAAATCAGTTTTTTTCTCCATGTTCTTGGTATGTGCTCGTTGTTTAATAATTAAGTTGCATATTTTTTTGTGAAAAAGTAGAGCCTAATGCATAAATTCACAAAGTAATGACATGTCTGAAATTCTTAAATGTTTGTCTGTTGCGACAAAGATTGAGACGTCTGGTCAAAGCAAAATAAATTGGATAACAAATAAAAATTGAAATGATTGGTATACTTAAAATAAATTCAAGACAATATGTGCCGAAAATATGTCCATTTAAATATTGGTACGAATTGCATAATGTTCGAGCGATTTTGAGGACGAACTGTTCTGCAGTGATCTTCCCTTACTGACCGTAGCGTAACTGGTGTACTTCCTTAACGGTTGAGGCAGAACCGCCTCTCTGATATTGGTCGTGGTTAAGGCTTTGTAACTTGTAATTTAATGATTCGACAAGTGATATTGATCAAAGTTGTCCTGGTCCCCTTCCGCCCCGTCAATGAAGACTAAATGCAAGCATATTTACGAAGCATCATATTAAATTTGGCGACAATAAAAGGCGTAGCCGAACTTCAACAGAGGCGGAGCAAATGAAATAAGTGACACTGCCTAAGTCGTTACCTCTCTCAACGGTTAAGTTTTAGAACGATCGACTATAGACTGGCTCATTGGCACATTGGCTCATTTATTATGTAATAGATAAAATTAGATAATGATAAAAAGAATATGATTTTCATGATGGCGCTGTCACTTCAGTTAAACGTTGGATCTAATCCCTTACAGCTCTGTGACATGTTGTACATCAGAAAAACTATTTTTATTAGAAAATTTGAAAACAGTTTGATTTTGTTAAAACAAAAAAAAAACAACACAAAATCAAGTCTAAAATTTTCCCCATTGCTGTATGGACAAATGCATATATACTAGACGCCGTCTAAGTTATGAGGTATACTACTGTGATTTGTTTAAGACTTGAATTGGGGTCATCTACCTTTCAGAAACTTAAGAGTGCGAATGCACAAATGAAATATATTTGTTTCTCTTTGAAAGACCGGTTGGGACAATTCAACTTCATGAGTTCCCGATTCGTCTTCGTGATTTCACAATTTTTTACTTTGTTAATTCACGTAATCAGCATACGGGATTCACGAATTCTGGATTTTAGCTTCATGAATTGACGAAGTTGAATTCGTAAAGTTGAAATCGTGAATTCGTGATGTTAAAGTCGTGAACTTATTAAGTTTGAAATCGTGAATTCACAAAGATGCACAAAGATGAAGTCGGGAATTCATGAAGTTCAAATGTCCTCACCGGTTTTTCGTATCATTGTTTCGAGTTCAATTGTTTCCACTGAGTTTTGTTTTTACTTTCATGATATTTAATTGATTATATCTAAAATATTATCTCCTTGCTTTAAAAATATATGCATCGTATAAATTAATAATATATGTATTTAATGAAATATTTGTGAATATTCACACTGTTTTTTTCTTCTTATTCTACCTAAATATCATTTTATCGTTTTTGCAAATGTTAATAACATTATTTTATGCAACGTTGTATTAGACGTTGCCCGACATTGTCATGTATATTTGGAATACTGTGGCTATATGTTTCATCCAATATACCTAAAGAAAAATAAAACTGTTATTTATCTGAGTAATATATAATAAAATGCAGGCACTTGTGACAGAAATTTTGTAACAGTTGATAAGTTTGTGTACAAATGACCGAAATACAGTCATCTTACACCTTGGTAGGATTATCAATCTTTTGACTTAATATATTATTAGATGTGACTATAAATTTATGCCGTCATATAAAATGAAATTAGCCTTTCAAAAGACTTATATTCGTAACTAAAATAAACTTTAATTTACGAATATAAGTTGTTTAGAAGGTTTGATGGTGTATTTGATACTTTAAATTTTTGCAGTTAATCTTCAAACATCTTGTTTTAAATTAATCATATATAACTTATATTGTATTATATAGCTAGCTTAAGTCCTTCAGCGGATTCGTTTTTTTATACCGTGGCAGAGACGGGCTACACTGAAAAAACGTCGTAGGGTTAAGTTCCAACAATAATCAATAAAAATCGTGCCAGGGATTCTGACACAACCCATTTTCATTTATGTAGCCATTCCGCATGAAACATATCCCTGAAAAAATAATATTATAATCTAATAATAAGCCAAATATAAACAATATAAAAATCTAATTTCCCGGACAAAAACGTCTAGTAATTTTGATGCTAAATCACTTGGGCAACCCCA